CTTACTATCAAATCTTATAATCATGAAGCACCTTCCCTCATCAGATCAAGTCCTCGGGCAATAAATCTTGCAAATGTTTCCTGCCAGATAACCTAAATAAAGCTATCTTAATTTTTTTTGCACCGCGGCAATCATTTCTGTCGTAAATGAAGAGACATTTTCCTTATATTTTTTACCGAGCCATTCAAAAAGTAACTTCATTATCAACGTCGACCGTTCAGTCGTAATCACCACGGCAAGGTATCACCATTTCCCGTAATGATGTCACCCACTGTTAGATATTACTTTGGAAAATAACACTGTCTTGACTTAATTGATGTACATAAGCTGCCCACTACGCGAAAGAAGGAGGTGGTGTTTTTTGTGATAAACTGAATTACCTTTAGACTCTTTATGACACTCTAAGTGGTGAAGGAGAGAAATTTACAGCGACCTAAGAAGACAAAACTTCTGATAAACCTGAAAGAAAGCGAAAAGGGTTGCTTACGATTTTCTTATTGCCATTTTTTAACGTTTGTTCATTTTAATATTTTGTTCGTGTCCTGGTCTCATTTTTTTCTACAAAAATATGCTAGAATACGTCTTTGCTGATAAAAGCAGGATTTGTTTTGATTTCCTGACCGGACTTAAGCCAAAAAACAATGCGTCTTCATGTATCCTTCAAAATGGCACGAGTCAAGGGGTGATAACTGCCTCGGCCTTTATTCCAATAATTTGTATTATATTTTATTCCACAGCGCTAAGTAGAAGAGTCGAAAAAAAAATGAAGAAGCTGCTAATGAAAAGTCTGTTTAGAGTCTCACTGCTTTTTGCGTATACCTTGTTTGGAGGAGGCCTTTTCTACTGCATTGAGAAAAAGCCCGAAGACAATAGGGATGTTTATTTAAGACTCTCTCGAGAGCTGCAAACAAACTTTACAAACAGGTTCAATGTTTCTATAAAGGAGAACGATTTTAAAAGTTTCATCCATAGAGCTTTCGAAGTGGTCCAAGTTGGTCATAAAGCGGATTGGAGCTTCCTTAGTTCCCTCAGCTTTTCGCTGACAACGTTGGCGACTGTTGGTAAGTGACATTTGTTTCTGAAATAGCATGTTAATAAGTTCTGGTAAATATCTTGCTCATAGAGTCACTGGATAGACACAGGTTATTATGTTTTCATTAAAATGGAAATCACTTTGATTGCTTGAAAACAGGAGCTTATGAAAACTCATGAGAGAACGCCGTACCAGCGCAATTTATTATTATTTTTTTTAATATTGAATTTTGGGCCGAAAAAAAAAAACCTCACCTGATTTAAATACAAAGTGTTTTTCTAATGATCATTTGTAGCAATTTAAGGAGACGAGGTCGTAAGACTGGAATCTGTTTTTACCGTTGGCGTTGACAAATAGATAACATTTTCCTATAATAATGAGATGGTTTAAGACCGAACAATAACAAGAAGAGTGAAATATACCATATGAAAGATCTTAATCTGAAAGGTAGATTTTTTTCGCTGTGAATACTGTACTTGAGA